TGAGTCGGATTACAAAAAATTGGATTTGTCGCGTTCAGACTGTCATAAAAAAATCAGATATGAGTCGGATTACAAAAAATTGGATTTGTCGCGTTCAGACTGTCATAAAAAAATCAGATATGAGTCGGATTACAAAAAATTGGATTTGTCGCGTTCAGACTGTCATAAAAAAATCAGATATGAGTCGGATTACAAAAAATTGGATTTGTCGCGTTCAGACTGTCATAAAAAAATCAGATATGAGTCAGATGGGTCAAAAAAATCGGATTTGGGTCGGATTTGCCTGCAGTGTGAACGTAGCCCTAGTGACCAGAAAATATTAGGCCTTTAGCTCAAAAGTGGAGGATTGTGTTTTTTTTTTTCATCTAAAATCATAAATCTTGAGCTAAGCATAAAGCTCAAACTCTGAATGGAGTCAAAAGGTCTTCTTCAAATAATAAATTCAGAGATTCAAGCAATGCAGGGGGAAAGTAAGGAAGATGAAAAGCTAAAAGGAGAAAYGTTGGAGTCAAGTGGATTTCTCTTCCTTTAAAGAGCTGAAACTGCAGTGTGAGCAGCAGAGAAGGTGCCAGAGTCAGGAACGCTGGCAGCGCCAACAGGCATAATGGCATTAAGGCTCTCTAATAAGAGAAGAAGGCTGGTCCGCCCCAGGCTGAAAGTCTGCAGTGWGCACACAAACAGACCGTCTGCACCCATCCAGGAGCCGTTTCCCCTCAAACGCTTACAAACACACAAAGGCTGGTATGAAACTCTCACGCTCCACATCATGACCTGCCTGTATGGGGCTGAATAAAAACGCTGCTTCTTTGGGGCTCTGTTCAGAAGTGTGTGCTCGTTACTGTCACGACAGCAACATTCAAGCCCTAACGTGATCAAAAACTTGCAACATCTTCCTTTCAAGCCYGATTAAATCTTTTTAATATTATTTCTAAGCAACTAAGCATGATAATCACACTTCATTACTGCTTCTTTTGATGTTTAAATGTAAATATCTGATTCAGAGAGCTGAAAAATTGCCTCAGTGCTGGCTTAGCAACAAAGTGAATGCCTTAAAGTAATTATTTTAAGTCCACTGATTATCGATTGCATGCAGGAAACACTGAAGATCAGCCTTAGTAATTCCTCAACAATAACAGGAAATTGTTACTTCAAGTCAAAATGACAAAATCAAAACCTAGAAGCTGAATCTTTTGGACATTAACACTATGTTGATTATATCAATATTTTTTACAATGATCAATAATTACAACCACAGATAACACCAGCTAGCCACAATTTTAACTTTGAAACTGAAATGGCTTGTGGTGGTTACAATAATGCGTTCCTCCAACAAATAGACCAAACAGCAAATAATGTCCTCTTAAACCTGCAGCATAACCTTTGGTCTTACAATTACAAATTTAATATATAAAAATGTCACGTCTTAATTTTGATTTCAATATTTTAGCATCCTGTCTGAATAAATAATCCTAYCTACCAACTTATATTTAGGTTACACATTAATAGATCTTACAAAAGCAAATGGTTGGAAATTTGTTAAATAGTTACATTTAGCACAAACTACACTCAGAGGCTGAAGCTAGCTCTTTGAAAACCTCCATCTGGATCCTTATTGGATTTAAATGAAAACAACTAAAAATAAATCAATGAAAACTTTTATTAGTGAATCTTAAAAGCAGAGTCAAACCTGAACTTCTTTGACATCTAAAATCTAAAGCTTTTGGATTAAAAAAAAGACAGCTACTTTTATTTCCCAGCTGAGCAATGTTGTGTTTGTAATAGCAGAAACAAACATTGCAAACACAAACAGAACAAAGTTGACCATAAAAGCTGCATGTGAGCAACAATAAAAGCAATCGTTTTGATAAGTTGACTGTTTATTTTAAACCAAGAATCCAAACTTCCTCTTGTTGTTGGTATTTGACACCAGCAGGACCTGGTTTACAGGAGCTGCCATCTTRTRTTTTTGTAACCAGAGTCTGTGCACGAGAGATGTGGGGCTTTGAGTCCTGCCTACTCCCTGAAAACTATCATGGTGACCTTTCTTTTAAAAACAAATGTTTGAACATCCAAGAGTACAATAGTCAACWCCTGACAAGTATCTGAGAGCAAAGTCCCAGCCATTTAACTTGTACTGGAACCAGCCTGCAGGGTAGCTGGACCATCCTGTTCCGCCTTCAACTTCCTGAGGCTGTGGGCTCCAGCCCAGGTTATGTCAGAAAGGACATCTTGCATAAAAACATGACTAAATCTAAACCAGAGGAGCCCAAAGTGGGGCCTGCGGGCCAAATTTGGCCCACCAAGCCATTTGATTTGGCCCACCATCAGTTGTCAAAGTTACAAGGTTGTAACCTGTTATCCTATAGGTAGAAACACAGTATTTCCATTGGTCAAATGACTATATAAAAAGGCTGTAGTGAAGGTAGTTTTCAGTCATGGTGCTGACATATCTTTGATTTATTAGGATTAAACAAGAAACATGAAATGACAACAAGAAATATTTAGATCAGATTTAACCTCACATGTAGATTTGCACACTTTAAAAAGGACACCAAAACTCATATTTTATCAATTTATGAAATGTCCCATGAGCCTTTGCTACTTGTGCGTATGGCAGACATTCTCCAAGTGCACAGACTAAAACAAAAGAGGGCCATTGCACAGCTTCATGTTTAAAAATAAAGGACTTTACTTAAAGTATTTGTATTTCATGTATTATATAACTGCATTTGGCCCGGAGCCATGGACAGATTTTCATTTTGGCCCCCTCGGGAAAATGTTTGGGCACCCCTGATCTAAACATTACTGCATCCTGCCTTGAAGCAGCTAGAAAACGAAACGCACTGGAAGTGATACAGCTAGCTACTGTTACTGTTTTAAAAACACAGATAATTCATTGAAGGCACTACAGAGGGTTGTAAATAGGTTTGCATAAATTGGTAAAAATATTTCAAGATTTATTGTCGTTTTGAGGTGCACAAAACCAAATTTGGACAGAGAATAGCTGTTAGCTTTTCAATCCAGTCATTAGAGCCCATTTCGTAAAGATTTTAACAAATTTAACACTGAAACATTTTAATCACTGATTAGTTTTGACATGAGTTATTTWAAAAAAATTCAAGCAAGCATGTTAACTATGCTACAGATTTGTTATTAAAAAGAAAAATCACAAAAAAGTGCCTTTCGAATTAGCAACCAGGATTTTTTTTATTATTTAGTRTGTAGCCCCGTAGTTGCTATAATTCAATAAAATGTGCTTCTTTTAAAACAAATGCGACCCACTCCTGCTCTATCATCAGGTCAAGTGGTGAAAATTGATATCTTTTTACAGTGTAAAAGCCACAAAGCGACWTGCTTGGGCTTACAAACACACGAGCAGTGATTTAGTGAATTAGTTCGTCACTTTAATAAAAGCATAAAGTAAAGTTGTGGCATTTTATTCGTGAGGTTCATCAAAAAAAGGCCTGCGTGATCGCGGATCATCACGGTGATGTTTAAAGCTCCTGTTGGCTTCCCGACCCCTTCCATAAATGCTGCAGTGCACCGCCGCCATCTTACTTCTCTGTGCTCCACCGCCGAGCTGGAAATATCAGGGCGTCAATGTTTGTTTCCCAAATTAACTCGCATTTTCGCCACGTCCTTCTCTGATACTCGATCCCAGAAAAACCATATCAAACAAAACAAACCTCGAGACAACATAAAAATWTAACATTTTTCACATTTCTATTTTAAAAACATGCCTACTCCAAAAATACTAGCCCTCAGGATGTGGAAAATGAGACAACAGCGGTGTATTTATATTTATCCACACTAGTCACCTGCTGCTACCGGTAAACACGTTTATAATGCTGGAGACCACGTTTAAGCGTTATTAAGTGTCATGCACAACTTTAATTGATTATTTTAAATCACGAAGACGTGTTGCCTCTTAGTTCAGACACAAAGAACAAACCACACAAGGTGAGCTGCTGTAGATGGACTTAGTCCATCGGTTTGATTTTAACCCTGTTTTTGGACCTACACAGAATCAAATCAAAGGTTTCAATTTTCTTCCCTAGTTAGAAATGTTTGATTAAATCAGGTATATTCCGTCTTGGAGGGGGGAAAAAAAGAAAAAGAAAACGACGTAGAAAAAGAAAGGGAGGATCACATTTTCGTTTTGAGAAATATCTACTGCTCCCAGCCACACACGATATGACTACATTTATAAAAACGACGTCAAATTTCACATTTAATACATAAACCTAAAAAACATAACCTCAACAGAGAAATAAACAATTTTAACACGACATCCGGTTAAAACCTTAAACATTAAACGAGTTCACCGTTATATTGTCCCACAATCATTTTTGCTGCCTTCGCGAAACATAAAAATATACTTAAATATGGTATTTTATTGCAATATATTAGCATGATTTAACGATTTAGCGCTTAATATCTAATAAAAAAAATCTTGAGCTTTAACTTTGAAGGCCAGCGAACTAGGCTTCCTGTCTATCATTTAGCTAAAGCTAACTAGCTTGACTGAGCTAACGGCGACAACACGATTGAAAAATGTAAGTAATAACACCGAAAAGGCAGCTTTTTTTTTCCTTACCTCCAGAGCCGAAGCCGCTACAACCAGCAGCAGTAAAGCCATCCGGTCCCCCATGTCGTGTCCTTAAAAACCAGTGCAGCTGACGGAAACTTTTCTTCCCCTCACCAAGGCTTTAAGCGTCTCGTAAAAKCGTGCGCTCGCCGCCGGTGCCTCTCCGTTGTCTCCCGGTGAGCGAAGGAGAAGCTGCACAGCTGCTCCGAGTCGGATCACCTGACCACGCTGTCGTGTGGGATTAATGTACGCACGCGCGCGCGCAGTCACACTCACGCACGTGTTATCTTTCTGACCCACACCGGTTTAAATCCTTTTTTAAAGACAGAACCTTCTTTAAAAAAAAAACGTTTTTAATTTACAACACAGAAAAACAGTTCACATAAGTTCACAGTGAGATTAAAAAACTCAATTTTGTTTAGAATCAGTTCAAATGCTGTGGGAAGTAGGTGTGCAGGGAGTGCTTCAGCACCCCCCCCTGATGGATGCCAGAGGGCATCAGCGTCTTGACTCCCAGTTTTATAAATACAGCACATTTTGCACGCCATTGTCCAAATTTTGTGTTTTTCACATGAGGGTTTTTCACAGCGACTTCTCGCATAGAGTTTGGTTTATAAACCCCATATTTAAAATCCCCAATATTTAAAACACACGCACACACTATGTCCAGACCAAACTCATTTAAAACAAAATAAAAATAAAATAAATCAGAAACCTCAAGACTCAAATGTCAAGTTAAAATAAAAAATGTGAAAATAGAAAAAGCGTTCTTCCTCTTCAGTGAGGTGTGGTTTCCTCCCGTTGTGCCAAAAAAGGTCTGTTTTTCACCTTGATCAAAGCAGGGCAATCCCTTTGATGTGCACACCAAGTATGGCGAAGGATAACAGAAGTCCGAACGGTGGGTCAGAACAGCAAAGTTAAGTCTTTCAGACATGGTCTGGTACCAGTCCTGACCCATATTCCCCTCCACCGGTGCTTCAAAGCAGCAGCCATGTTTTTAATCACAGAATAGAATATCCTGCCAGCCTTCAAGTTTTAGACAGTTTGTGTTGGCTTAACCACCACAAAAAAAAAAAAAAATTAAAAATGCTGGATATCCAGGTCCTAATCCAAAGAATGAGAAAAGGGGGTTCACTTATGGGTGAAGCCGGGGTAAGGAGGTGGTGGAGAGTAGCTGCCCTGCTGCGGTGGGGTCGGGGTGTAGGGTGGGGGGCGTATGGACGATGGGTACATCTCATAATCCAAGCTGTATGGAGGTGGTGGACCTAAGTTGAAGAAGAGAAAATCAAGAAAAAACAATTTCAAGTTACAGAAAACACACTTGCACCATCTAGTGGTGGATATATGAAACTGAGCATCACCAAAAATTGTTAATGTAAATTCTAATGAACAAATATCACAGGACCACAATGCATTATTACAACAAAGTGCCACAGCTGTATGCATACTATATAAATATTGAGTGCACCACAAAACAATCAACTACCACCAACAGGCAGGCAGTGATGTTTTTGCAAGTGTCCATATGTTTGTCAGGTTAGTAAAAATTTCACAAACTGAACAGATTTTGGTTAAACTTCCTGAAACTAAATAAGAGTTTAAATGTAAAATTTTACACAGACTGATTAACTTTCAAGACGGCAATCACAGCAAACAGACCTCATAAAATGGCTCCAACTCAGTCGAATTTACAGGAATTGAGATGAAATTTGGTGTGGTAGTAGCTGAGAGTCATCCCCAACAAAAACATTTAGTACATATTAGGGGTGTAAGAAAATATCGATACACTGAAATATCGCGACATTTCATTTCCCGATACTGTATCGATTTTCTAAAGCCCTGTAT